AAAGAGAGGCTAATGAGGGAATTGAAAACAGGTGAGGGCAGGACAGAAAACAGAGCAAGAGAAAGAGGACACAAGAGGGCAGTAGAGGACAACAAATGGAAAAACCTGGAAGACAGGAACCAATAAGAAAACAACAAAATAATAATGAAATAACTAGGATAATGAAACATGGGGGAAAGAAAACTAAACACTAGGAATCAAGGAGTAAGGAAAGATAGAATACTCAAAAGAAAAACATAACAGAAACAGAAACCTAACAATTATGATTTCTGTCTTTATCATTTTATTCATTTATATCTTTTATATTGCTTTTAATCATTTGTTTTGCTTTGTTACTCTCATCAGTGGAAATAGTGTATGCAGGTCATAAGACGGTCAAATGTTTTGCGAGAATGCTTTCCTGTTTTTCATTTAAGAAACACAGAAGTTAAAAGTTCATGTTCCCCGACACCTTTTTTAAAAGCGTATACTGAAACCAGACAAGTTCCCCATCTTAAAAGTTCATGCTATGTCTAAGAGATTGCGTAATCGGAACTAACACCTGCTGTTGTAATGTGTTGACTGTTCAATAAAAAAGCCTGCAAGCGTGGAGCAAGACGAAGATGCACAGAGAGATCCTAAAGCTCTGTGTACCTTCCACTTTGCAAAGCACGGTCAGGAAAAATCTTACAGTCTTTGTTTCATTCTTTATAGGTTAAAGTCGGGGAAACTTAACAAGATTAACCTCAAAACTTTTCAAAGTATCTCAAATTAACTGAATACTAAAGTTAAAAATGATGTGGTGCTGTTCAAGTGATACAGACTCAGTGATTGTAATGAAAATTATTATTTTTATTTTCTTTACTGATTAACACTAAATTCATTAAATCACAGTGAACGTATTACTTTCAGGTATAAATAATGATCTAATTTTTATTCCTCGCTGAACGGACTTTTCCTTTAAAGAACAAATAAATTTCTGAGGTTCTGTCTGTAGGACCGCTGCAGCTAACGCTCCCCAGTCTTTCCTGTTTGGCTCCGCCTTCGTGGCTCTGATGGTGGTTCTGTTCACACAAACATCAACCAGCCACTGGGTAATCAGATCAGCTGAATGACATCCTCAGGCGCTAATTAGAGAAACTTCTCAGCAGTCATTTTCTACGGTTTGAACTAATGAGGGAAGCGGCAGGACGGGTCCAAATGTCTCCGTTTCATTAACATAAACAGAAAAGCCTCTGAAGTGGGATGAACCAACGTTGAAACGTCTTTAATTGTAGCTGCAGCCTGGCGGCCAGCTGTTAACGGGAGGAGATGTTGGACCATCACCTCCTCTCATCTCAGTCTGACTCCTTTCAGAGTTTCTATAGATCTGTCTGTCCTCCCGCTGCCATGAGCTCACAGAGATGTTTCCTCCCACAGGTGGACCGGACAGAGGTGATCCGCAGCTGCGTCAACCCCACCTACTCCAAGGTCTTCACCTTGGACTTTTATTTTGAAGAGGTGCAGCGTCTGCGCTTCGAGCTGTATGACATCAACAGCGGGCACAACGGGCTGAGGGAGGCCGACTTCCTGGGGTCGGTGGAGTGCACGCTGGGACAGGTGAGTCCCTGCAGAGTGTTGGGAGGGAGAGGTCGGATATTTCCGGTCTAGTCCTGCCGATTAGATCCAGGCCTTTTTGGAAAATAAAAAAAAGATCAAGATTATCATAATGTTCATATTTATTTTTGCAAAGTGATATTTCTTAGTCCCTATGGAACCGTCCATATTGATGGAACCCCCCTGGAAGTGCATGAAGTGGTTTGATCCGGCCACTGTTGCCAACTTAGGGCCTTTGTGTGTATATTTAGCAACCTTTAGGATCCATTTCTACCTAAGAACTAAAATATATCCAGAATACACCACAAAATAGGAATGAAACCAATAAAATTAGAAAGCAAAGAAAAAATTGATCAAAGTGAAACTGAAAACTTAAAAGAAAACTTATTAGAACCAACACTGTGATAAATAATTTTATCATTTGAATTTAAATATGCATGTTTTTTGTTTGTTTAACTCGTTTTCTTAGCTGATCTAATATCAAAAAAGCTACACTAAAAACAAAAAATCGCCAAAGCTTTTATTATTTGGAAATCTGAGTAGTTTAGAGGCACATTTAATCAGCTGATTATCTCTCCCTCCTCACATTTCTCCGTTTATGTGTTTCTTGTTTCTCTAAACGTTTACATCACCAAATCACTGTTAACCGTTGGCCAAACATCTCATAACGAGCTCTGACTATATAAACTAAAGGTCAAAGGGCATCAGTAATTTTTTCAAACATTCTTCTTTGTTTCAACCTTTGCTGCCGCTGTAGACATCGCTTTATGGGGAGTTTATTGCATTGACTCATTGAATCTTCAGCAATCTCTCACACTAAGCATGCTTGTAGCGACAGTGGAGAGGAAAAACTCCCATTGAACAGGAAGAAACCTCCAGCAGAACCAGAACTACATCTTTCATTTAAATCCTAAATCTAAGTAGATCCATTAAATCTTATATATAATCTTAAATCTAAATTTCAAAGTATTTAACTTATATATTTAGATACAACATATATATTTGCTTTAAGATTTATATTTAGTGTTATCTGATAGCTATCTAATCTTTTTTTCTGTAAGTCATAAATGTTTTTAAAAAGCACTAAATATGTAGAAAGTAGCTCAAAAACATAAATGTAATAATTAATTTTTGTTAACTTCTTATATTGACACACGATATAGATTGTAAAGACGCCTCTAATGTTATTTCAAAAGTCTGTTATAGCCAAAACCAATAAGAATTGATTCGCTTTCAGTTTCCTCTTAGTTTTTGGAGCAGAAGCTGCCGGTCGGCCAATGGGAGCTAATCAGTTCCTGTGAAGGTAAATGAGGCTGGATCAAATCAGAGAGGAGCGAAACCTAAGAGCAGCGTTCAATAAGTAATGCCCCTGACCCTCTTCCAGTTCTTTGATCTAGCTGAAATTTTGCACGTGCAATTATTTATATGTCTACAGATTAAAGAGCAAATTACAGCTCTGAACTAATTGTGGTTTCTGATTTATAGGTGTTTGAACCAAGCCTGAAATGGAGCCTCCTGAGTGTCAAGCAGCGATCTGGTTTTTGTATTTGAAAGGACGCACACCACAGGAGACTTGTGATTAAATGAAAGTAACTTATGGTGATGATGCCCCATCTTATGACCTTACAAAATGTGATATGATGGAGCATCATCATCATCAAGTCTCCATTTCAGACTTGACTGTCATGATTTAATTAAAGATCTGACCCAAAATCCAGAAGACCAAACAGAGAGACCAGGGAAAAGTTTAACAGGTTTATTAAGAATATAGAGATGAGTCCAGTGCTGGCCTGAACACTGTCAAACCGGAACTGGAAAGTGAGGGGAAGACACTGCGGTTAGTTCAGGCTCAGTGGGAAATTAGATTCTTTGGTTTGAGTTGGAGGAATAGGTTGCAGACTCACTTCTCCAGGAAAAGGTGTCCTATATGGAATCCAGTCTGTGTGGAATGTTCCAGAGATTGTCTTGTTTGGTGTTGGGTGGACTGGGTTACTCTGACTGCGGTTGTTCCTTGGTGAATAGAGAAGCTGACTGCCACTCAGATTTCCTGCGGTACTTGAACGGGCTGTGGTGCAGATGAAACCTTTGCTCGGTGTGAAGCTCAAACGACCTCTTGGGGAAAGTGGGTCCAAATGTCCTGTTTGGAACTCCTGCTCAGTTAGAAGCTCAGTTGATCCTTCCAGGGAGAGAAGATCCGAACGAATCCAGTTTGCACGATGACTTCAGTTAAGACTCTGGTTGACAAAAATTCAGTTAGACTCTGGTAAACTAAGCATGGCTAGAGTACCCTGTATTGGCAAACACTCTGGCATCGAAGTAGTGGCAGTCAGCAGCTTAAGAACACTCCACAGGTAATGAGGCAACGAGCTGCAGGTGCTCAGGGAGGCCGAATGAGGACGGGGCACCACCTGGTGGCGGAGGAAAGGAAACACAAAAACAGACCACACAAACTGGATTCCTGACATTAGCTACGTTTACATGCGCAAAATTTCCCCGATCCGATCCAAACCTTGGTTGATCGGAAATTTAAAATCTCCGTTTACATGGACACTAAATGAAATGATCCGATCATGACGTGTGTATACATGTACCAAGCGTTGGATCAGATTAAATCTTTTAAGAACTTCCTGCCAAACTTGGCAGTTCTGTCTGCGTCTG